TATTATTATAATAATAATAATAACAATAATAGTAATATGACATGTATCGTGCAAATCCGTGTTACAATCATTGTTCTAAGCGCTTCATATCATATTCATGAAAAATATGAATACACAACATACATGCACATAATAATATGCAGTTCTACATTTACTTTTTTTAAAACCCATAGTAAATCATTCAAGCAAAATATTGCATACACTCTTTCTTACCAATAAGGACAAAATTGAGACTCATGTCAATGTCAAAATCGCTTTCATCACAAATAAAACAAATTAGTGGGATTCTGATAAAGTCAACACCTCATGACCGAAAAAAATGTTGACTTTGAGCAAGGCTGGCTTTTTCGCATCAACAAGAAGAAAAAAAACATACAGTGAGGTCTAGGGATCTGTCAGGCCAAGCGCCTCTCCTACCAATCCACCGCTGATGCGCGTTTTCATTCAGATAAGCTCGAACTAAGGAGCTTAAAACTACTTTTAATCTCCTTGGCTCGAACCCAGAAGTGCCAATTGGGCGGGGCTCCATCTTGTCGAAAAATGAGGTCATTCGAATCTGCGAGCAATAAAGCGAATAGCCACTTCTTGTGGGGTCTATGTTAAATCAACGTTTATGTCCCACCACTTCCAGAAAATATAGATGGCATGAAAGATTGAATAACAACTACAATAATACGGTGACCTGGGACATTCTGAGGCGTGTTTGGGAGGAATTCTCATATCGGCTTGATGCTGTCCGTGCTGTCGGTGGTGGCCACATTGAGCACTTGTAAAACATGATATAAAATCTTGAAGGTTTGTGCAAAGTGTCCAAGCTACAGTTCTCTGTTGTTTTTCGTTTTTAAAATATCGTGTGATGATTTTGGCGTATTCTTATTGAATCACCCTGTACAATAGGCTCGGTCCGACGTTGCGTCCTTGGAAAAGGCACTTTACACGAATTCCCCAATTGACATAGTCACATTACTAAAACGTTTATGTTATATTTTCCCCTTCTGCTGGTACCAATGGGCGGAGTCGAGTTGGTAAGGAAAATCTGTTAACTCAATGAAGACGCCTATTTGGTCATTCGGCAATATGTGAAGAAGAGCTGTTTTGGGGCGTAACTTTATCATTCAAACAGATTTTTTTGGCTTTGTTTTCTTTCTTTGAAACTTCAAAAGGCATGTCACAATAATTATATTCATGCCATGAAATATGCACACTCGAGTTTCTGATTTGTGTATTACAGTACGACCGTTCGAAATGTACCGAAATATTGTCTTTGCTCTGCTGCTAATCGGACGTTTGTGTCCGCTACTTCTTCAAAGATTTAACTATCCGCGCACCCGAACCACCAACGTCCGCCATACGAACGAGTCAACCTCTCAGTCAGCAGCAGCCAATCAAATCCCC